CACCTAAAGAGTGGGCGAAGACTGGGATATTACCAGATTGCCCAAACCTAATCAGCAGTCATCGAGGTACCGAAACTGAGTTGGAACCACGGAGCTTCTGGTCACTAGGCTTGCGCCTTGACCAATTATGATATCTCGAGCTCCGTATGGCACAATTATCAAGGCTGAAAAAGAAACTGATAGGAGATAGGCCTCAGTGACACTACTGGAAATGTTGGGAGCCTGCCACATACCCGTACTCATCCAGGGGAGTTGGCATATAAAACTTTCAAGAGCAACAATAATTTAGACGGGACATCTCTGATCGATGGGCGCTGATGGCTGAAGGAATTGAAGATAGTCTTCAGATCAATGAAAATTACAACCGTTGGCCGTCAGTGGTTACTGTGTTATCCAGCTTGATCCTGTCGAATTTGGCCCTCCATAATTTCTTTGTCTGCGCAATATAATGCCGGAGAACATTTTATACCTTAAGGTTAAAAAGCGCTCTCACAGCGTTTTTAAGAATTTCTCAAATTGGGAAGGCCAGGACAGCTCGCACCAACCTTCAACACCTATGGCGCCGGTGTGATGTCAGTGCTCTTATCAACAACAGACTATACTCGACGGAGGTGCTATCCATACTGCCTTATGGATCAGAAATGTGGCCTCCAAGCGTAGAGGACGTACGGAGGCTGTCAGTATTTACCGCAAGCGTCGAGGACGTACGGAGGCTGTCAGTATTTACCCCTGAAACATTGGCCCGGTCTGGTAGGAATAACGGGTTCACAATGCTCGGGCACATCGGATAGTATTCAGAAAAAATGTACTCTCCCACAACGGATGAGCTACTCCTGCTTCGTCGTTTGCGCTATATTGGTAATAATCGTTCAGTTGTAGCACCCTTTTGGTGCCTAACTGCCATGCCACCCGAAGGAGGCATGTAGGTCTAAATACTGCCAGGCTTCCTGAGCGTAGACAGGATCAGTTGAGATGCCCAGTTTGGGGTCGAGCCGCGGACCATCCGGTCAGTAAGTTCGCGCCCTAGGCGCTGAGTTTTCTCGAGCTCATAGTAAGGAACATGTGCACCACATACCATAGGTTCGTCTACCTTTAAGGATTAGTTTTTCTCAGCCTTGTGCTAAGTGGAAGCCACCGTGAAGTTGACAGTTCTTGATCTGACAATGAAGCATAAAAACGCTAACCAGTCAACTCAGTCAGTTTCGCAACTGCTGCCTCCCTTAATGAGGACCCCGGGACTCAACTCACCAGTAATTAATGACACTGGCAGACATGGATCAATCGTGCAGTCAGTAGCACATGTGCATCAAAGGTACCGCCTTCGGTGCGTGGCTGCCAAGTTTCTCGAACTAACTAATCCTTGGCTATATTTAATTGGCTCTTCCATTCTCTAGCGACCGAAACTGTAGCAGCTGGAATCAATATACACTTGGTACATTGTTTATAGCTGATAAGCTATACTGAACTGAACCGACAGTACCTAATTGCTGGGGACAAGGCTGAGTGAGAGCAGGTTAACGAAGAGTTTAAAGGATGAACTGTGCTTCGTGCTTACTAAGCCAGCAGTGGAGTTTTCGTACTTGGCAGCGCAGCCCGAGCCTTCCGCTCATTTTGAGCTGGAGGGTGGCAGGAGGGTACGGAGGTTATTTCGGCAACATCTGCGCTATGGTTATCATCACAGGTCTGATCTTAGATGCGGCGAGTGGTTGGGTTCCTACTTGAAGTCAATTAGTTGAAGGCCTGACTCATTTGGCTGTGCAAGCAAGCTTAACCTGAGGAAACATGATCGAATATGGATGTGTGTGACTCTTGATAGTGCTGTAGGTTCCTTTGGAGCTGTAGGTCTACCTTATAGGTGGATAGTTGGATGACTCACCGGCCGTGGTGGTTAACAATCGGGTAATTGGGGCTTGTGGTTTTTGAGTTAGCCTTTTCCAATTCGTCTTTCCTATGGAAAAGTAGCGTTATTACTTAGAAAAATATGGAACTGGAGGAAGCGTTTTACTGCGGTGAAAAGTATGACTGCTCGTAGCGGATATACCGGCGTGGTTGAACGAGGTAATATCGTTCTACAGGTCGTTACAACACTCACTTCCGACCACCACGATGTGATGACGTGATTGTCATCGTGCCTATTGAAGACGCTGCAAAATATGGCTGCTAATTTATGTCATCGGCGTTCTTGTTGTCAGTTTCTCTCAAGAATATCTAAATGGGTGTCTGAGGGTGTGTACGCACTTCAGAACGATTATGGTACGCTAGTGGTAATTCCCTCCCCCATCCACGTTTATTCTGTTCGCAATAAGTCTCAAATAAATTATGGTTGTACGGCAGCAGGGCATCCGTTTTTTTGGGATTGATGTTATGCTATCGATGATTTGATGTGTTGGTAGCCTTTTGTCATAAGTTCGTATTGCCACTAGCCACAAATGGCCATAATATATTCAATTTTCCACTCGCCTTGACTTGGACCACGCTTTGGTATGCGTAAAATCGCAGTAACGAACAAATGAACAATGGATCCAAACACAAATCAACCCGTTTATTGGATCTAGCAGACAAGGTATCTGGCTCAAGAATATTAAATGGGTATCTGAGGGTGTGTACGCACTTCAGAATGATTATGGTACGCTAGTGGTAATTCCCTCCCCCATCCACGTTTATTCTGTTCGCAATAAGTCTCAAATAAATTATGGTTGTACGGCAGCAGGGCATCCGTTTTTGGGGGATTGATGTTATGCTATCGATGATTTGATGTGTTGGTAGCCTTTTGTCATAAGTTCGTATTGCCACTAGCCACAAATGGCCACAATATATCCAATTTTCTACTCGCCTTGACTTGGACCACGCTTTGGTATGCGTAAAATCGCAGTAACGAACACATGAACAATGGATCCAAACACAAATCAACCCGTTTATTGGATCTAGCAGACAAGGTATCTGGCAGGCACCAAAACAGACTCAACACAAATCTTATCACCACCATGACGAGACGGTCTCATCGTCGTATGGTGGTTTTGACCTTGATTGGGTCGTCTGCGAGATACTCACAATCATACGAGACTGGTCATTGGAGATCTGACTGACAAACTCTTGGCGCACCGGGTTGGGGATTGAACATGCGTAGCATGCGTAGTCTGGTGATAGCAGTTTGACCACCTACTGCAAACCATTTGGAAAGAAAACAGCATCGCTGGAATGATACTGTTCACCTGTAGTTCCGATATTCAAAAAAGGGCTCAAGAACGTCTTACGAAAAACGTCGCTTCAGTCTGGTAGCCAGATAGTGAAGACGCGTGGCTCCTGACAGAAAGGTCCTGTTTAGTCTTAGGTGACCTTGACAGCATCATGGGCCTCGCAATGCTTTCGGGTGACACGACAGCAGTATGCCGAAAACGTATTACAACCTAGCGATCCGGTTGCTGCCGAATCCAACCTCGTGTCTGGGTTAACTGTGCGCAACTGTTAAGACTTGGATAAGTGGTGACCCCCACATTCTCTTGACAATTTTCTTCATTCGGAAATTCATTTCGAGGGTATCCAGTTGGTCACAAGTGTTTTCTTGACATGGTCTCCTGTCTGTTTGGGATACATGAACGCCCACACTCAGTCGCATTCCTTCCCACTGAATCTTACTTTAATGTGCGGACATGTCGGCGCATAAGTATAGATCATGCCGATAATGACTACCGTGGGGACGACGTGCCCTAGGAAGAGTTGCGATTTTATAGGAAAAGCCATTCGTAATGCGCAGCATCTGGGTTTGAGTGTATTGCTTCCTGATGCGCATAGTCCCACTGACGAGCTTCAAGTCAGTTTCAGAGAGTCCCTTTCAGCTTTTTCCCGCTTGCCCATTGCACTGTGGATTATACGGTGTGCTCCCGTTTGTAGCAACACCCCTCTCTCAAAGCAGACCAAGGAAAGGAGTTTAAGTAGGCAAGAAACGCCAGCTGACAAGATCATATCTAGGAATGCGAAAGTGGACGGAAAACGAGTGCTCATCAATGGTTGTCAGAAGGTTTTCGGCTTCCGTTGAGGGTGGTACTGAACCTTTGAAATCGGTCCCGATTCTTTCGAATGACTAATTAGGCTTAATTATTAGGTTAAGTTAGGTTAGGTTAAAAAACCTAGACTTACGTTCAACATGGGTATGACACTGAAGAATCGTAGTTTTAAAATCGAGCGAGAATGAGAGATCTTTGTCGTGAATAAAAGGGTACAAACGACTGACGCGTGGGTGGTAGTGTTACGTAAACGTTGGATGTCATTCAGAGGGTATGCTGTAGCAAAATCTACGCGATAACCCTTTGGTAACCTTGTTTTCTACCCTTGGTCGATATATCACGTCATGGAAAGGAATTTAGAGTTCTCGACGTCTTTGTTTTTGGTTGCGTACATGATGGCAACAGAACGTCTAAAGTGTATTTTGGCGAGATGAGGATGCCATTTGCTGGCGGCCTCTACTGCTATTGAAAGGAGGAAAGCACTTCCCACGAAGTCATTTATTAGCAAACATCAACTTATTGGACAGCAAATGAAACGTTTCATGCACATAATAAAATAACTAATAATCGTTCAGCTATAGCACCCTTCCGGAGCCTAGCTGCCAAGCCACCCGGAGGAAGCACGAGGGCTGGGGTACTGCCAGGTCGCCGAGACCTAGACAGGGGAAGTCGACAGGCAGAGGTCGGGTTCGAACCACGGACCTTCCGGTCAGTAAATTCGCGCTCTAACCACTTGGTCCATCTCGCCTCCAATTCGAGATTAAGGTTAGTAGTTAAGGTGCAAATCTGACCGGAAGGTCCGTGGTTCGAACCAAACGCTGCGTTTCGACCGCTCCTATTTTGTCGGTAGTATAGTCGGTCGCGTTCCAGAAGGTGGACGGCGACAATGTTAGGTAAAACTCCTTAATTATGATGAAATGGAAGCGCAGGAGGAATGACTAACAACGATGGAAGTGTGATTATTAGATGCCACAAATCACGTTAACTCACATTTACCTTTCATGTGGGTTACTCCAGTCGGCTTCACTAATTGTAACGGACTATATACCTGAACTACGGTTGCATACGCGCGTTCGTTATCTTCAGCCATCTGCGATTTGAGCGGCGGTCACCGAGAACAGACCCAGCCGACGCCACTGTTGTTCAGGTAGACTGCCGGTACTGTAGGCCGACCGCGAGAAACAAAAAACGGAGCCGCCCCAATACTCGTTGAGTTTTCCAACCTGGTAAACAGCGTGGAAACTGACGTTCCCAACAACCGCTCAACTCTGTTACTGTCATCTTCCCTAATGGATATGCAAATCCTTTCTCATATATGATTTGACAGTTCGAAGAAAAAAAATCCCCACTTCGGGGATGGCCAGTTTCAGATGGGATTGAGACTTAGACCATAGTTGACAGTTCACATTTGCTAATTTGCGTCACTTGTGGCGTCAAAAGGGCATCTCACTAGATCTTAAGCGTCGTGTGTACCAGGCTACAGTAAGGGCTGTGTTGTTGTATGGGTGTGAGACATGACCTCTGCGGACAGATGGTGTGCGACTTCTTCAGGTTTTCGACCACCGATGCCTCAGAAGCGTGGCCGGTTTTGGATGGCGTCAGCGTGTTGGTAACGAGGTGGTTAAAAAACGGGTATTTGGTTGTGCTGCAGGCATTTCAATCTGATAAAACACCCAGCACCATCGACTACGATGGCTCGGTCATGTGGTACGCATGCCAAAACACTGTCTACCGGAGCGAGTGTTGTTCTCCGTGCCTCCTTCAGGATGGCGCTAACCGCGAGGTGGACAGCACATGACTTGGCAAAAAGGCGTGAAAGTTATCACGAAGGGTTTGGGTGTTGGTGGTGTTGTACGCCTTCCAGGATAGGGTCTCCGTGACCCCGTCTGTGCTTGGCTGGAGACGTTGCAAGAAATGGCGGCTAATCGATGTCAGTGGTGTTCGTGCTGTCAGTTTCTTTCCAGATTGTCCGGTTGAGCGGTTGGAGGTGTAGGCACCTCAGAATGCTTGACACAGGCCAGCACTAGGTCCCCTTCCCCACCCAATCTTTTACTCTTTTCACTTTATGGCTTTTAATATAATTACATGTATATAACTAGACGAACCTTATGGTTGTACGGCAGTGAAGCATCAGTGCCAAAACTGATGTCGCTGTCTTTGATGATGATGATGATGATGATGACGTAGTTGACAGTGAACACTGCTGAAGGCGTCAGAGGCATGGTCCCTCCTTTAGAGGTGGCTTGTAATAATTAGGGTGCCCTAGATACCTAAGTTCTTCTTTGTTCCCTTTTTCAATCTTTTCTGTTCTTTTTTCTCTTTACATTTCAGCCACACCGCTACTTTGCCGAGACACCAACGTGAATGGCTCTTCGTATTCGGTCTATTTTAACGCAGCGATTTCATTTAGCCCGCATGGCTTTTGCTCCGTTTTCGACAGTTGATTCCGCAACCGAGATCACACACACCGGGCAGGTATTTGCACTCAGTTTCCTTCACGTGTTGCTTGTAGAAATTCGATTCTGATGATTACTCGGTTGCCAGATTCAGCCTCAGTGGAAAGCTGGTAAGCTTTTGCATAATTGTTTTTTTTTCAGTATCACGTTATGCATTGTCCTCGAATGGTTTAATTTTCTGTCAGAGCCTATTCTTGATGGTCTGGTTATATGGGATGAAATCCAAGGTCTTACTCTCAACCGTGTTTTGCGCATTTTCTCCGCTGACTCGATGACCAGTACCATTACTTCGTACTGTTTAAATGACGTGTTTTCATTTGCGGGCGGAACGACTCGATGACCAGTGCCATTACTCTGTACTGTTTAAATGACGTGTTTTCATTTGCGGATGTTAGAAAACGCCACAACTTTTTTGTGGGAGGATTTCCGATCCACACTGACATTGTGTGAATCTCTGAGATCACGCACCGTATGAGCTTGATGAAATGTTCGATTTGGGGCCATCCAGTCAATCTGCGAGCATCGAGCTGGTTTCGACTGGGAATCCGATGGGTTCACCGTGTTCGATATCTATCCACTAACATCTCTGCCAAAATTGAGTGAGTAAAGTTCATCTTTAGATGCGACTCGTACTGTGTGCGAGTTGTGTGTCCTTTGGAACAAACTCGGTTGGGGACCGTGTGTGGCGAACAGGCTGTTCTGGAAATCAGTGAAGACTGCCACGTATGCAGTAGGTGATAACCGACTGTGATCAAGGCGCGAATGCAAGCGGTCAACCAAAGTTAGCGTGTTGGTCCTGCGTTTCTCGTCTCACGCATACGGCACCGCGAAGTAATCAACTGTCAGCCGAGATTAATGACTGTCACGCTACCAGGATAGCAGAGTATCCCTGCAGGTTTGTTGCCACGACCAGTTTCAACGTCAGAAGACGAACCACGTGCACCAGGTGAGCCTGACTAAGCTCTAACACTATCGTACAGCCTAAACGTTGGTATTATTTTGATCAGTCATCTCATCCCAGCATACAGATAAGCAGTTGGTAGATGATACTGGTCATCGTGGGCGACAAACCAGTTCGGCCTTCAAGTTGAAAATGCAATCCTGTGCAACGCACGCCTATTGGGTGCCCCGAGGTTACCTAGACATGGGGAATGTGGTTGTGGCATGAGATCGTTTTCAAGAGAGTGATCTGGGATTACCGATAACTAACATGTTCCGTTTTGTTAGTAGAAAGCCTGCTTCACGGCTGGACGATCTTCGTTTGCGTGTGCTCCCAATAAAGTGGTAGTTCGCTATCTATTTTACCGGAGGAACTGATAATCGTTCCTTATAAGAGAGTGGTTTTTATATACAGTAAAACTACAGAGACTGTAGTGTACGAACACAAGTCACATCGCATACCACTTGCAGGTCAATCGTCAGTTTGCTGAGAAGCTCATTGCCGAGGTTCCGCCCATCCCGTGCACCGAACATATTGTCAGCTGTGACGGTGGAGGAGGTGCGCTTGGTCATCCCAAAGTCTACATTAACCTCGTAAGTTCTTGATTCATATACACAGTTATTACTCGCTCAGACATCATTCTGTTGCGTTGTGCAGTAACGCTGTCCAAATCGGTCAGATGTACCAAAACACCAACCGCCAGTTGTGTGTCTGGTGTGCTGTCTAGGCTTGGACAACCTGGCAGTATCCCAACCCTCGTGCAACCTACGGGTGGCATTGCAGCTAGGCACCGAAAGGGTGTTGCAGCTGAACGATAGTATGCTGTTATGGGACATTGTCATGTGTCGAATTTGTCATACGGTGCTTTTCCTCTTGAAGAACGACTCTTCAGCATCACCAGAATTGATCAGTTTAGGTGAATAAGTCACTCTGACGGAGCATGGCCGGTCCTACCCACTTCTCAGCTCTTTTGTCGCAGAAACGACTTTATCATCAAGTGTTGTGTTGACAATATCTAATTTCTAGTGACATACACAAGAAATTTGGTGTTGAGCTTTGATAAGCTCCGCAAATGCTGCTGAGTTGTGTTAGGCAAAACCAACGGAGAGATGAACGATAGCCAAGAGCATATACTGTTACTGTTAGAGATGGAGTATGGACCCTGATTGAGCGCGAGAACAAGACTGAATGGCGTAGAATGAATAGTGTTTTACTTGTCTAAGTATAGACGTACATAGGTGGGAAGTAAGGGCGAAAGCATGGTTAATACGAAGCGATAATGTGAACGCAAAGAATAGCTATGACAGTGACCTTTCTAAATCCAATGCGGCTGATGCACTTGTAAACTGGAGAGAATAAGATCTGCAGACTAAACGCAAAGGCCTGGTGAAAGCTTAAGCCTGATGGAACCGGCTTTATTTCGTTTGCACCAAAGTACTTGCTTTATCCGTCAATTCCTCCTAATTTCATCCAGATACCGCACTCCTTGGATAAGTTAGTGTAACAATGCTTCCTGGGATGTACCCATTACCGCGCCGTTTATATATTAATGGATAGCGCAGTGACCATCGAATTATTTAATGAGTAGGTTTCTGTGCTGTCATCTCTCAGTACGGCTGTGGAATTGAGCAAGTGTTGATTTGCGGTCGGAGAAAACTTACCTGCGGCTATGCTTGGTGCGCTGGTACCCCGTTAGTCTGCCCCTACTTAAGCCTATGCCTCCACTGGTTGCACGGGTCCATGTGGTTGTACGGTTGTACAGCCGTTTCGAATGAAACGCTCGCATTAAGCTGTGCTGCTCCCCAAAGCTCATCAAGCTCGCATAAACGGCTATTTTGGGGAATTAAGTTCATGCACCCAAATGGCCCGATTCACTCTTGATGAGGACTATACCAGAAGGCTGTATTCATGTTCCTCAGGGTGTGGGCCGTCACGAAGAGACGGGACCGTACCGTGGTGTGACGATTTGTGTGCCTGAACCATTGGGCTATATTAGACAGTGTCCGTGCGACACTCACAGTGTCTCTCATACCAGGTTGTTGAATGGCTAGGGGTCTGACCATCAGTCCCCTGGCCCTCCAGATTGAGGGTTAGAACATGTATAGTGACTTGTTCCATAAAGAGGATAATGCACTTGCATTTCCCGCCAAACACCGCTGTCTTGCGGCCAGGCTTTTAAGCCAAAAGCTTTAGTTGAGGACCCTAACCGTCCTCCTGTTTAGGTCTGGGTACCCTAGCAGTATCCCAGTCCACGTACAATCATGAAACTTACAACTAACAACACTCATGCCAAATCGGGCGTCACCGGGTGTCACCAGCCGCGTCGCCTTAGTTGCTGTCTTGGCAAGAGGAAGCGTGCTACTGCTGATGCCTCCCTTCTTACACTCACGTTTTCCGTCTTCTACCTCTCTCAGTAGATCACAGCACTAGGACTGACCGTTATGTTCGCCGTGCAGCTGCAGCTTCTGTACGTCCGACTTCAGTAACAACCCTGAAAATTTTGAAGGCCTGTTCTCAAACCCCGAAAGCCTATCTACTTAGCCGCCCTTAATGTTCGCACATTGAAGCAACCAGGAGAACAGGTGGCTTTTGCTTATACGCTGGGTTTTTTGTGCATTGATGTCTGTCAGAAACAAGAATGCAGGACGGAAATGTGTATGATGAAGTCAGGACAAGAATCACAAAAGCTCGAATCACGTTTGTCAGTTTGCGTCACTTATGGCGTCGAAAGGGCATTTCACTAGGTCCTAAGGGTCACATGTGCCAGGCTATAATAAGGGTTGTGTATTGTGTGGGTGGGAGACGTGAGGACAGCTAATTTGAGGAGTCTTCAGGTTTTTGACCACCGATCTGTGTATTGTGTGGGTGGAAGACGTGAGGACAGCTAATTTGAGGCGTCTTCAGGTTTTTGACCACCGATGCCTCAGAAGCATTACTGACTTTGTATGGCGTCAGTGTATTCGTGACGACGGGTATTTGATTGTGCAGCAAATACTTCGCTTTGTGTGGCGTCAGTGTATTCGTGACGAGGTGATTAGAAAACGGGTATTTGATTGTGCAGCAAATACTTCAATCGCGGAAGACATCTAGCACCATCAGTTGCGGTGGCTTAGTCATGTGCCACGCATGCAGAAACACGGTCTACCGAGTGAGCGTTGTTCTCCGCGCACCCTTCAGAATGGCGCAAACTGCGAGGTGGACAACACACGACTTGGCAGAAGGGTGTGAAAGGTATTACGAAGAGTCTGGGTGTTGTACACCTAGGATGGAGTCCTCATGACCCCTTGGCTGGAGACGTCACAAATACATGATGTTTTTGGTTTTGTCACAGGAACTATACATGTGCAGAGTAATAATCACTCTTGTGGTTCAGGGGGAACCTGCTCTTCCATGAGTTTTCCGTTGAGTTTCAAAAGGTCATCATTAGATGGGTGTTTTCTGTGGATAAGTAATTTTTTTCTTGAAAAAAAAACGACGACATCCCTTTAACTCTCTTCCACACCACACCAACCCCCTCCAACTGCACTTTCTCGCACACTCATAATCCGGTATATTTACTTTTTGTAGGACCAACCCGGGTCACACACTTGTGGGTACTGTGGTCTGCGATATTACTTGGAAGGCCACGAACCTCATTAGTTTACTTCTTTTCTTTCGTTAATGTTTGTCGCTTAGCAACAGAGTGCTGTCGATCTGTGCAGATAAAATCTATAACTCCTTCATGGACTTGGTTTTGCTATTTGTCAACGGTATGGAGAGGATATTTTGGGCACAATCGTTACATTTTGTTTGATTCCGCCATATCAGCTTCAATTTTTCAAAATTATTCCTCGTGGCGGCACAGCCTTCTGTGTGTGCATTGACGTTATTTTGGAGGCGTGAAGAAAGAATAGCGTAGTTGCGGGACAATGCCATTCCGCACACTTTCTACAGTGGCGAACGTGTGAAACAGCAAAATTACCAAATATGACAGTGATTGTGTACAGTATATCTTTTTTTATACTAATTCAGTAAAAAAAACGCAACGCAACAAGGGTTCGTGCCAATCGAGGAATTGTGCTTCGAGATACCTGAGTCGCTTTGGTTGAACACATCTGGTAACAATTTTGAACGCGTATTCGCGGTCGCGTTTTCCGTAATTGAATATTTTACATTTGACGAATGTGTCCAGCACCAGAAGCTGCGTTGGTTGGGACATGTGTTGCGTATGCCGAACCATCATTTGCCGAAAAGAGTGCTGTTTTACATGCCCAGTTCAGAGTGGCGTAAACAGAGAGGTGGCCAACCCTTGACAGAGGAGTATGAAGCAGATCACGAAACGTTTGGGTGCTGTCGGTGCTACTCGCCTTCTAGGATGGGGACCGCGTGATCCTCACTGTGCCTGGTTGGAGACATCACAAGATATGGCTGCCAACCGATGTCAGTGGCGTTCTTGTTGTCAGTTTCTATCCAGATTGCCTGAGTGAATGTCTGGAGGTGTAGGCACCTCGGAATGATTGTGGTAAGCTAGTACTAAGTCCCTTCCCCATCCCCCTTTACTCTTTTCTTTACCGTAAGGCTTTCAAATAAATCATCGTTGTACGGCAGTGAAGTATCGGTGTTGAACACTGGTGTCATGCTGTCGATGATGATGATGATATTTGATTCCTTTGGCGGTATATTACACGTCTCCTTTCGTAGCCTCATGATTCGATTTTGCAGGTACATTTGCTCTCCCTTCAATTACACCAGGGTGTATTTGGCCACAAATCCGTCTAAGCCGATATATGCGATGACAGCTGAGTGTGGTGTTCTGGTGTGCCGCTGGAATTGAAAGCAAGAAAGGTGTGTCGTTGTTGCATCATGGGTAGCCATCTATTGGGCTACGCCTGCACTGCGCTTGCCAGACTACGCGATAAGGGGAAGACAGAGGACTCGGGACACAGCTGTATTGTCGGGACAAAACATACAGAGCTTCTGCGTGAATATATAGGATAACTAAATGACCGTTTGGTGCGCTCCGCCAGCGCACCTGCTTTCTGGACGTGTCGTAACTATGGTGAACTTGGGGATGCGTCACTCTGCGCATGTACTTTTTCCATGTCTGGGCACGTCCTGACAGTCGTAAATCAGTGTTTGTCTCTTTATTCTTCTAATAGCAGAACTTACTGGGATTCGCGCATCCAGTAAAATCGTCTGATAACAAGTTACCACATGGTGTTGTGTTTTGGAGAGCACTGCTAACAACTAAGACGGCGAGAGCTGCAATACGATCACAATAATTTCTGCAGATCTCATTCACTGTTACGAAATTTACTTTATCGTTCACTCGGTTTTAAAAGGAAGTTCCAGATTGCCGACGTCCGGTCCACTCTGAACAAAATAACGATCGACCTGATACTTCCAAATTGTACATTGCTTTCTCCCAAATCATGTGCTATGCACGTTTTTTTTCTCAAGAATATCTCTCGGATGCTCATTCTTGAGGCAGTTCAAGAGTTAATAAAATGTTTCATCAATTATAGACAACAATTTTTTTTGAAATTTCTTTCAAAATTGAAAGAATGGACAGTCAGTTCACTTCTCTTCCTACGCACAAAGCAACCTGAGAGTATGGCTCCAAAATTCAAGACTTGTGTAATACCATGTGAACTGAAACTACGGCCTCGAGCGGAAAAAACGCAGTTGTAGTTGGTGAAAGCACCCTGACTTTAGCAGTCTGTACCTCCCGACCCTTGGTCCGTTAGCTTGTTCCGGGAAGTTTGTTAGGCACTATTTTCGAACGTTTGAATATGCAGATCGATATCGGGAAACCTTGGACACCAGTCTCCTTCCAGTCTCCTTCCCAGTAACATTAACTATTCGTCAATTGTTTGGGTTCTAGAATGCGTCGCCGTATACAAAACACGTCATATAAGGTTCGAAGATACCGGTCCCCTGCTCTTTGGTTTCTGGTCGATTCCGACCGCAGTTAGATATGAATCGTTCGCACTACACGTCAATTTGACGTCCCTCAACCCACCCCCTTAAAAGCATAAAACCCTCCCTCGAATGTCTTTAAAGGTAATTTCCTGCTTCTCGTCTGATTTACATGCATTCTGTTACAGCAATGTACTTCAGAAGTGCAAATTCTGGTTCAGATAACTACCGTTTTACTGAGGCTTAAACAGCTGCGATGATCAGCGTTCCGACGGGCGCACATCATCATTTTTTAGCCTTTGTTTGGTACAGAATATCGGTGACATTGCATCCTTCTAAACGAAGGTGTTCTAAGCCACAATAGTGGACACTGGTGACCGGAAGACAGCTGCTTGTTCCTCCAGATAAGCTGTCATAATTACGATGGCTGCCAACAAAAGAAAACTAACGGTGTCCTGATGTACCGACGAGGCGTTTCACTGGAACAAAGGAAAACGTGGGGGTAATACACCTCAACAGCCGGTAGTAACAGGTCATGACGACGAGTTGTTGAGCGGGAAAGAGTATTCTGGACGAATGGTGCACGCAACGGGGTGGACAAAACCAGCTCGGCTTCCAGTACAGCAGTAACTGACCCTCAAGATAATACGGTACACACATTACTTCAGCTAATTGCTATATAGTGTATATTCGTGGGCTCGTATGAAAACTGGGCGTTTGGTTGTACATGAGCAGATGTGCGCCAAAGGGGTTTCATCACAGCCAATCTACATTGAGGAAGAAGAGCAAATAGTCGTAATTCTGTAATGCATGTGGTCGAAAATCGGCTAAGCTTGATCGGTCACTGTCGATTAGATCGAGTGGATGAAAGTGGCTCCCACTTTCGAGTACTATTCAGTGAAGTTGGGTTTTGTAAATGAACTGGTACGCGACCTGCCTACTATAGTCAACCGGAGCTTACGGACGGATAAGCGCAACCTCCATCGGTCCCGACAGATCATTTTATCCCCGGAGTTATTTCACTGTGTCCCATCAGGCGCGCATTGCATAAATTAAATTAAACAGACCTGTGTCAAAGGCTTGTCCTGGAAGTTCCCATGGTAGTACCGACTAAACGACAAGCCCTTTCCGTTTAAGCAGACCCAACTCCCATTTGTAAGGGCCAACTGTTCTCGTGCCCTCCGCGGCACGTGAACCCTCACCCTCAATCATAGTGCACCCACACGTTAGTCCATGGTGTGAGATCTAGCGGACACTGGTAAAAGTACACGATTTGTCTCATCGAAGCCCGTCCTGGCTGTACAGTTGGTCGTTCAGAAGATGCTGCATGATCTCTTTGACGTCCATTTTGAACTGTACGTCAATGGGAATCGGACAGAGAAAACATACTTTATCCTTGGTGTCCAACGGCGATTCCGAAGCGTTCATTACGGGAAAAGACCCTCTTATAGTAATCAGGCAAGTATTAGCGGCCACAAACTTTGTAGCAACGCACTGTTGTTCTGGCGCTGACCAAAACTCGACTATTTCCTGTAAATGGAACAGCCAAATTAATCGTCAGTCAGTTCCGATTGGTACACTCGCTTCGAGACATTCGTTAGTAGGCCGACGAATGAAATACAGGTGAACAGAGTGAACAGAAGAATATAATAAAATGGATTTTCACCCAAGCATCCCGTCGGCTCCAAGTTGTTTTGCGACTAAGTATTGATCGCAACATATGTTGTAATGGTCGGCGTTCAAGTACGCAATAAGCTTGATGGAGATGTAAGGACTACGCTGATGATTTCAAACAAAAGAAAGGCTAGTAGTGAACCATACACAATTATGAGTAGTATTCAAACAGTGTGTGGTTCCAGGAGAGTGGTATCATGAGATTTTGCAGTGCGATTTCACATTTTTGCCAGCTCCTGTAGTAGTTCATTTTTTACTGAAACTTAAGAGCTACGTATGTGTTACCTTCATTGCTCGGTTCACTTCGTAGTTTTGTGAAGCTCAGTTGCTTTAAATGGAATTGTCTTTTCTCAAGTGAAGCCAAAAACCACTGTACAGAGTTGCACACGGTACAGTTGTTTCATCCTTATTTGCCATCTTCATCAGTTCATCTCCTTGGAATCTCCGTAAAGATTCGAATCCACGGCGTCCCGGCTCCTATATGAAGACTAAACCATTCGGTAACGGGCGGCTGATCAGCACATATATGGTACCAAGAAGCACGGTACACCTGCTTCATCCTTATTGGAAATCACCAGCATTGCGCAGATCACATGCATATTCAGGCACACCAATCGCATCGCTTAAGTGTGAACACATTTGCCTGTTCAGACGTGAAAGTTCAGATGCGTCCAGCGTGCGTTGGTGTAGTAGTGGTTGCACGCTCGCCTCGCGTGTCACATGTCCGGGGTTCAAATCCCAGCAAGGCCATTGGATATGCACTGCTGATTCGCTCTAATGACAGCGAAACTCGAGTGCAGTGCTGCTTCTCTTTGGTGTGGACTCACCGGAACAATTACCCCAGAACAGGAGGATGGCCGTTCAAGCAGGAGCGATGTGACTACGAACAAGGTAAGAAACCGAGCTTCCCTGTGTGTTGTTAAGAACCCCGCCGCTTAGTCATAGACTTTCGATCAGGATTGGGGGTAACTCTTACTTGATTTTGCAATTGTGGAGTGGATTCGAAATTTGGCTCGAGATAGCCCGGCAATATTTGAGACTGGGAAATCCTCACTTTGAGTTGCAGTTGTACATTTGGTAATTTGAAGCAAACCCAGCCAGCAAAGTGATGCTTTTGAATCGAAATTTGGCCTTTCCAAACGAATAAGAGACAACACTTTGCGGTCTCGTTTGATCGTTACCTGAACCGAAGCTCACTGAATAAGAATAAAATTGCGTGATGTGATGGCTTATTAGTGAATGTGTGAAGATGTTACAGCTTTTTTTAACAGCGTGATTATCAAACCTCCAAGTAGAAGAGCCTTCGAAACTCAGAACTAAGTGCTTTCTCTGTGCCAGACTGAAACAAACTGAATTGGAGATCATGGGTGAACAGTATTTGAGGACTTGAAACCCATATACATTGAGTCCTTCGTGGTCAACAGCCCATTGGCATCTTTATTAACGATAGTCTCAGTGGCACAAAAAAAATGGCACACAAACTTGCGCTGTCTTTACACTATTCAGTGAGTTGCGAAGGAATGCAAGAGACGCACGTTGCTAGGAGTTTATGAACTTTTCAGCTAATTCAGACATATTTATAATGAGTTATAGTGAGTGAGTGGTAATTCTGTCTCTATTGTGCGATTAAAGTGTCCCTTTTGTATATACCATCTTCTATGAGGCTTTTATGATGCGATAAGCCCATATATATAAGGAAAACCTTGTGAGGCAGGAAGTTATCCAGTGTTTCACGTAATCACGATCGGCGAATGAGTATAGAACAGCTATGAGTGGTTATCTTTGTAATGTACTACTCATAAGGTTCCTGAAAATCCATCGACAGCCCACGACCGGTTTCGCCCTTTTTGAATCTCTTCAGGTAGGCGCAGTCCCCGGGTTTCCGTCAACCTTATGTTCTACTTGAAACCAAATTGCACGAAATTAGCGAATATACACTCATCTGCAAACTAATTTGGTTCTTTCGAGAGACTCACCTGGAACCCAGCTGAATCTCTCGTTAATGATGTTCTCAGGCAACTGAATGTGCTGCACCAGGCCGCCTCATGCTTCAGTCGCTACGATATTCGAGATATCGCGATACATGTATATCTTTGAACATCACAAACGAGAAACTGACTAAACTCTGTTCACTTTGACGGACAACGGCATCGACTACGGTGTATTCCAGATCAGTGCAGAAAACGTAACTGATCACTCTTGAAAAGTGCAGTCTCTATCACACTTTAGTATCCATTCCAGCTGTGAGTAATCGCCAACGGAAAGCCTGTATGGTGCACACGTCTACGAACTTTTGTCGGGCCTAATTTGCCAACAACCATACAACCCAGACAATGTTGTATGAGCCGATCAAACATATCTTCTTTGGTAAGCCACATCGCTACGGTTGTCATCGTCGAATTTCGCTCGTAAAAACAACAAATTCTAATGGGTGTTGCTCACAAGCGGTGCGTTTCTTTCTCGAGAGGCTCGCTTCGGATGAAATAAGACCGTCCGCTGATCAAGAATGGCCCATCATGTCTCCATGATTTAGACAGAGAGTTACCTAAAAACAGGAAAACGATCACGTGCTTCAAAATGAGCAGGGGTTCGGTTGAAGTCAGAAAGCCCCCTGTTCTCAACAATTTCAACGAATCAAAGTCAATGCCGATGGGTGACAAAGAAAAATAAAGTATAAAAAAATAAAAATAAATAAATAAATGAATAAATAAATAGTTCCTGAAAATGACGAGTGTGCAGTTGCAATGGAAAAGGCGAAACTACCTTGAGTTTAAGTTTTAACCAAACCTTAAATGATGAGCCGTCTAGTAGCCGCCAATCAACCAGTTACTTGGTAACTTGGGATTTTTCAAGTAGCGGATGTTTGAGCTGCAACTAGTGTAAATCAGAGTGAACGCACCCAGTGATACGACAAGTACAAAAGCAAGTGATGTTACCAATTATGCAAGATTACCTTTTACAGATAAGCCATTAGGAAGAGAGGTCAGCTGCCATTTATGACCTGTTTGTGCCTAGATTGTACCCAGAGTTTCCAGCTTGTTATCCCTTCCGTAGGACTACGAAATTCGGGTCACTGATAAGCCACTGAATACAACAATGCGAATAACCATGAAAATAAGGTTACTTCCTTTGTAATGCACTACTCATAAGGTTGCTGAAAACTCCTCGACAGCCGAAGACCGGTTTCGCCCTTCTTAGGGCTCATCAGGTAGGCGCAGTCCCTGAGTTTCCGAAAAAACTTCATGTTCTACTTGAAACCAAATAGCACAAAATTAGCGAATATACACTCACTGACAAACTAATTTGGTTTTTCGAGAGACTCACCTCGAACCCAGCTAAATCTCTCGTTAGTGATGTTCCCAGGCAGGTTGATTCCTTCTCAGTCCCCGGATCCCGTGGATTTTTTCACCGCGCACCAATAAATGACTGGAAGTTGTGCAATACATAGCTATATGCCTTTGCGATAGGCGGAGAGAAGCTTCATAAGAAAGTGGTAAGAATCCGCTGGTTTTATAAGTTGCAGGACGCAGTTGAATTGAATGCGGGTCTTGACCGAGCGTGTTGAAATCTGGCCTGTTTCTTGTCGTTTAATCCAAAACGATATCGAGCCCAGACTTTTCCTGCACAGTGAGTCGTGCGTGGGTTTCAACTGACTCTGGTCAAGGCGCGGTATGAAGTGACGAGCGTCGGCATCCTGCTGTCGTTGTTCCGCATACATATACACGTTTACGTTGTGAGTGAGGATGCACTTGTATTGTTTGTCTTGGATAAGATTCCAGTACTCTCGGTTAGTCGTCGGGCGAATGTTGATGACAGTGGTTGTGCATGCGTTAAACAAATTATCTGAGTGGTTGAAGGTAAACATTGATGAGGTAGTAACCGAACTGTGAAAGCGGTTGAAGATAAAGGTTGATGGGGTGACAAACAAACTCCGGTAAAGTGGTTGAAGATAAAAGTTGAAGGGATGGTAACCAAGAAGTCCCCATGCTTACTATGGATGCAGGATGTCTTCGCTCCTAATGGATGAGAAATGCTGGTTTCAGCAACGATAGACAACCTGGAATTAAGGGCTTTCCACTGCGTCACTTATGTCTTTACGAACAAAACACCTTTTATCTTCAAAGTCTTCCTTTTGTGCGGTGCATGTGTTCCACGTCAATCCCCCACCTAAATAAACTATTTCATATGGTAGCTACTCATAAGTAGTTGATCTTTCTATCCAGCTGCAAATTTATTCTCTGAAGGCAGTAACGCAAAATGCTAGTTCAGTAACTCGACACACTTTGAAAAGTGATTGAGACTTATTTCAGGAAAAAGTAACCAGAAGTCCCGGAAGATTTCGCTTTAACTATTGAAGCTGAACCGGTGCTTCGATGCTGTTCCCGGTGAAGTCCAGTCTCACGCACCAGGAACGCAGACTTATCTTCACGGTTTTTGAAACTTGTTCTGTTCAAGATCATTGCTTTTTGGTCCACATAGTTTGAAGTGCACTGCGTGTCTTTTTTCGATGAAAGGCCCTCCTAATATGCCCAAGTCGTTGTTGTAAAGAGCACTCCAAAACCCAACGATGCAACTGATCCGTGTCTGGTCTGGCACCGCTCCAGACTTGTGGGTGTCAAGTGTACATAAGTCATATATTCCCGCGAGACCCTTTCAGGATGAGGAAGGAATCTGACTTCCCTCTCAACCACGCCCCCTTAAATAGCGATGCCATCATCTGTGTCCAGCTTCTGCTAACTTGATACGCGACCGGTTTGAGAGTAGTCACCACCTTTATCGCAAACAGTTACTCATCATTCAGCCTTGTTGAACTTAATGATTGTTGTACCGTAAGTGGTCGTCCATTGGTCGCGCATGAACTGAGCCTGCAACACTACTAGTGAAAGAAAGAAGGCCTTCGCTGTGAAGTTATTTGTTAGGAACTGCCAGCTGAACAGCTACAGACTATTGGACAGGGGAGCAAATCTCACCTTGTTTACAAAAACTGAATATCCATCTTCTCATTGAACGCGTCTTCCTGAACTTTCCTGGATATTCATTGACTGTTCCCCAACTGTAAGCAAATGCTACAGAGTGACTCCACAAATTCCGTAATAGATCTCACTTTTCAAGAGACGCAAAGCGGATTTACGAGAAAACATACTACGCGCATGTCACTTCCATCAGTAGTATCACCGTTACACTAGGGAAACAGAGAACCCGGGACACTGCTGTTTTGTCAGGACAAAACATACAGAGCTTCTGCATAAATATAAAGGATGGCTAAGTGGCCGAATACGGTTGTTCGCCTGCTCGTTCTGTCCACGCACTGGCGACGTTCCTGTCGTTTTCACAGTTTCACACCCACTCCGCCGGGCGTATGCTGCTGAGTCGCGCTTGGTAAACTCCGCCAACGCACATGCCATCCGGGAGGTGAGATTCCGATTGTGACCTCGAGGACGCGTAGTTCTCTGCACGTGTACTTTTCGTGTCTGAAAATAACACAATCATCCCCAAATTCGCCCTGTGCACTCAAAAGTTACTCTTGGCCTGACCGGCAGCCGGTCAACATTTTCTCGCACAAAGTTATCTTGTTTGGATTAACTTGAACTCTTTTGTGGAACAACCCACCCTTTTCGTTTCAAAAAGACTTGATAAATAATCGGTAGTTTTCAATTTTGAAGTTCATTTTTGAAATTTTAATTTAGTTCGAATTAATTTTTAATTAGTTAAATGCCATATAATTAATCCAGTTATTTAATTTAATTTGTAATTTATAATCTTAACTTTAATTTACTTTAATCCGCCTGAAAGTTACCCATTCCCATGGCAATCTTCGGCAGTGTCACCCGTATGGGTTTACACACCATGTCCAAATTTCAGTGTTTTTGCATTTTTTTGAAATCGCCGTC